TTGCATTGCTCTTAGCTATTTTCGTATTAACTCTAACATTTTCACAAGCAAATGAAGAATCAAGAAAGAGTTGAAAAACCATTGAATATCTACATATATAGTACTTTAGTAATTTATAAACTCTATCATACATATACACAAACATGTATATTATCTATGAATGTGTGTTTAATATATATTTAATATACATTTAGAAATGTATACAAGGTCAGCGCCATGTTACATATATATTTAGGGAGAGAGAGAGCACCTGCATACATGACAGATAGTAGAGATGGCTATAGTAATATACTGTTATTTATATAGAGGTATGTAATTCTACCCTGAATGGTAATTAAAAAATCTCTGATTTGTAGCATGTCCAACTCTGGTCTTCAATGATGAAACAAGAATGGGAAGCAGTTTATAAAAAACTTGTGCTAGAATTTTGAACTGAGCTTTGCTGAAAAATGATACTCTATACATCACACAGAATCAAGGTCAAAAGTGAAGTAGGACTCAAGGCCCTGAGTAATGAGGGCTTAGCACTTAGCAGAAATGACACGTCCAGTTTCCAGCTCAGGAGTGCCAGCTGACTGGCCATACTAGCATTCCATATCTATGGAGTTGCACTGGTATCAATGCTGAAGGGAAATCTGCCCTTCAATCTACAGACAAGATGTGTTCTAATAATTATTACTTTTAGAGGCTTAGGATGAGGTACAACAGAATGTCTGGTTGGACCCTTTGCCTAGAAGTAGGCAGACCAGACAATGGAAATATATCACATAAGCGCAGTAATAAGCAATGTTTTGGGAGTGACTTCTCTTATTGGAAGGGTAGGGCGTGTGGAGGGGAAGGGGGAAAACAGACATTTGAACGGGGTGCCAAACATGTACACTCTTCATCTGAACACTACAAAGAAATAATGTTTCTTCTTCACTGGAAGATACTCTTTAAAAAAAAAAAAAAAATCAGTGAAAGGCCCTCCCCAAAACACTGTGCATTTCCTTGTATAGAAAATGTAAATAAGTTAGTATACTGAAATTATCCAAAACTCTTAATGTTTGGTATGGCTCAGTTAAATTAGACATCTGGTCTCATTTCTGACCTCTTATACCGCACGAGAATACATTTCAGCAAGTCTTTATGTACTCAGCTAAGTGACTTGTAAACACTGAATAGAATTTTATTATTTTTATATTTAAATTCTACCACATCTATTTTCTTTCCAAATCATTACAAATTAAGTCACAGGCTGTTTTAATGTACAATCTGTACAAGGACTGGGTTGGGAACTCATTATTATTTGAGTTTTGCAGGTGATGGTCTTTTTCCAAATTACATGTAACTCAAGAAACTGACCTAAGATATGTTTAGTCCTGCATGAGGTGCTTATGTTTGTAGTGTGATACACAAGGCATGATATTGGCTGAAGCACTATTATTAAAGAAAGATTAAAACAGCTGTACATTATGCTGAAGCATTCACTCTTTCCTTTGCAGACAGACGGTCCTGGATTACAAGCAGCACTTGACCATTTAAATCACTACAACAACCAAATTTAACCAGCTGGGCCATATTCTCTTAGGCAATGCCTGTTGACCTCCTCGGTCGCAGCTGCTCAAATGAAATTCTGATTAGACAACTTATTTTCAGAAGCCAAAGGACTCTGATTAAATATATTTATTTAGACATGATAAAGTCTTTAAACTCATATTCATTTTCTCACAATTACCAGTTGTGGTGGGGCCCAGAAGCACCATATACAGGGATGGCTGACATTTTATATTTGAAAGCACACAACCAACTACGAAGCATTTTGCATTGGAGGTTCATGCTAATCCTAGCCCATATTCCTCTGGTAGACCAGAAATTTTGTGAAGTTAAAGGAAACATGGGGGGCATTACTGGTCACAGCAGGGGACTGGGAATCAGGAACTCTGGGTTTATTTCCAGCTCTGCTACCGACTCACTGCATGACCTGGCAATAGCCATCTAGGGCCTAATCCAGTTGGTCTGTTGACTTAATGGGAGTAGAACAAGAGTCTATAACCTTCCTATGACTAAATTTCCTCCATGTAAAACTGTAAAAAAAGGACTATTTACCTACCTCATTGGAGTGATAAGAGACTTAATTTGTTTGTAAAGTCCTTTGAGAAACACAGAAGAAAAGACCCTCAGAGTTAACTCAGTAGTATGCAGTAGGAGTTAATGCTTCCTCTCCATTAAATTAATTGAATTATTGTATTATGATGACCCCCATTAATAGACAGTAGCTTTTGAATTTTTTGGACTAGGAACACTGTTGTACTAGGTCATGACCATATCAGGGCTCAGTATGACCCATGGATAGGACTCTTCAGCAGCCCTGGCTGTGTATCATCTTCAGAAGAACTATCAACTGACTCTAAACAAGCCTATTTTGATGGTTATTTGTGGAAAGACAAACCTCTTTGGCCCAGCTATACTTAGGCGATTATTAGGTCATTTAAAAGAAAGGGTCTGCTACAGGACAAAATGTGTTTACTAACCTATGTCTCATTCCTGCAACTGATTCAATGCAAGCACAGGGTCTGCCCATACATAGTCAATTGCAAGATCACAGCCTTAAAACATGTAATTGAAACCAGTTTTTAAATGTTCATTTTATTCAGATCAAACACATGTGAAAAGTTGTGGATCGCCATTTTGCATTACCCATATGTTTTTCAGGTAAACACTGAAGCAGGTACATTCAGCATTTTGCTATTTCACATGCACAGGTACCCAAATCTACCATAACAATTACAATCTATTTCCACTCAATATAAAAATTAACAATAGCTGAGATTTTGGAGCATGAAACACATTGCACAACTGCAAATATTTGCTGCAAATTAATTTTCCATAGTCACTGATTAAAACACAGTGCAAATGGATGCCCAACAATTATTTCTTGCAATAGTCAAGTGACCTTTCTCTGCAAAAGTAGCGGGGCAAAAACATGAAAATAATTTAACATGAAGATATGGTCAGCCACTTTTGTGCCAAAATAAAGAGGCATTAAAATGAACAGTGCTCCAGCATTAGCTGTTCCTCAGAAAGCAAGATTTTATAAATCATGCAAACACTCTTCCTCATGGGAATATGGAGAACTCTTACATTCAGTAAAAAGTGGTCTTTTTTTGTATAAAGTATCTCTCTAGATGAAACCAATGCTAGTATATACTAATAAAGAGTGAGGACAGAAAAGACACCAGAATTAGTAGGAAGAGAAGTTAAAGTGTTTAACCCATCACATTAAAATATTAGCTGTAAACTATTTGATGCACATTTGGTTTTACATTCCACACAATGTACTTTTGGAAAAGTCTTAGCGGTGGTGTCACTATGATCAACAACAACTTCAAACTCCAGCAGCAAGTATGAGCCAAGAAGCCTTTGATTAGCATGGAGTGCAGAACAACTGTTAACTGACTGTAAAAAATGATTTTGCCAAAGTAAAATTTAAAATAGTTTCCTAGTCTAGCCATCAAACTTAAGAGATAATTTTTAAAAGAATGATCTTTACAGCTGAAAACAGACAGATGGTTCTCAAAAATCTGGGACATTCTTTGGAGACGCTTCTCCAGCTTAGGAAAGGACACCTATAGAACACAGTTAACTATGTGCCTGTCATTTAAAAACTATGCCAAGAAATGTAAAAACCTTCACATATCTACCTCCCTGCATATTTTCCCCATATTTAAATAGGTTGTTTCAGTTTTAATGGATTTCTACTTTGCTACAGAGTCTGAAGATCTCACCGCATACCCTTAAAAGCCTGTGAGCCAAATCCTCAACTCCAGAATGTTACAGCCCCCTTAATCCTGAAATACCCTCTAATTGATGAGGGAGATGGAAGACTCTGCAAGTATCCTTCTCTCGCATGTTTTTTCCCAGATTTTTCATTGCAGGGGGCAGGACTTGTCCCACCGCAGAACCATAACCGTGTCTTCTTCAGGACCCTCTGACTCCCTGAAAGTTTGTTGTTGTTTTGCCAGAACACTCTCTAAGCAGGAATTCCATGGCACAGAGGCAGAATAGGAAAAGCCTAAGGACATAGAACTGTGGATTCTCCACTGGAGTCTAGGTGAAGGGATATTAGGTCATGAGCACCCGCTGCTCTAACCCGCCCTCACTCTGACATACACCCCAACCACCTCTTCTTTAATACAGATGCTGTGCAGGTCTCCCCATGGGCTCAGGGACTGGGAAGATGGCGCCCACAGAGGCTGCTGAGGCTTCACTACACATGAAACATGAAGATCTCTGTGTAGAATCCATCCATGTGCAGATCTAGAAGGATGAACTCACTTCCCCAATTTTATTTAGTCCTTATTCAGGCAAAACTCTCATTTAAATCACGGAGGTTTATGCTGACTAAGAACTGCATATAAGGTGATTCATTGCCTCATGATTTATCTCTATTTTTGTATTTCCTTTTCACATATGCACATATGTTTTATAAAATGCATTTCTTAAGCCACAGATCTAGATATACAGGTCAGAGCTATTTCCTCCTTAGCCTCAGAACAATTGCCTACCTTCCTAGCTGCAAAAGTTGTTATGAGTAAAGTGAAGAAAGATGACAATTACTGAGATAAAATTAAATAACTAACATTTTTCTGCACTTCTATTGTTTAAAACAAATATTTTTCTCTTAAAAGGAGAAAAATTTACCAAAATATATCCATGAACACGATGAGACCAGCTAGCAATTCATTGTTATTTTTTTAATAAGCTGAGGCATCATCTAAGCTTAAATCTTTGCTTTGACTCATAGGCACCACCTAAAATTCAGAATGTTTTAGAAAACAGAGATATCTGTCGAACATGCCTAATGGATCACAAACTGCCATTGCCATGGTAACTGTGAATAACTTTTTCCCAGTTATTGCCAATTATGCACTTCTCTGGCTCTTGATACCCAACACATTCTTTAAGGCATAGAATCTGTAGGAAAAAAATATATTACAACAGTCTTAGCCAGCACATACCTTCCTGTTCAGTCCTGGTCATTTCCTCTAGTTTCTTCTGTTTCAGTGTATCCACCACATCAGCAAGGCTTCCTTTGCGGCGTTCTGGAGTTCCAAAATTAACACTGGTCATTAGCTCACTGCGATCGCGACCTCCTTCGTCGGGCTTGTGTGGTGAGGTAGAGGTATTCCGGAAGGAATATAGGGAACATAACTTATTACTCTCTGACTCCTGCAAAGAAACAACATAACATGAAAACACAAACTATTCCACTTGTATCTGCGACATTTGGATTAGATGACAAGTGAAGATATATAAATATTACAGTGAGCGGTTTACAACAGTAAGTTAGGCAACTGTTAGTTAGGCAACTAAATTCCATGCTAAGGAATGGTCCTGTTACCCATGCACCTGCAGGGATCCCCCAGTTCCCCAGAGCAAAATGCAATTTAAGGAAGGTAGTGGTCTTATAGAAGTTTAGTTGCCTCAGTTACAATGTTTGATTATGCCCCCCCCCCACTTAAGCCCTGCCTTGTCCATGATTCTCAGCTTTCACACTTCCCCCTTAAGATACAGAATATTTCCTACTCAAAGAATGACAGATTAATTTTTTTGTGAGAAATGATCTATTGCCATTATGCATCCGAAGAAGTGGGTTGTAGCCCACGAAAGCTTATGCTCTAATAAATTTGTTAGTCTCTAAGGTGCCACAAGTACTCCTGTTCTTTTTGCGGATACAGACTAACACGGCTGCTACTCTGAGATCTATTGCCGTTTGTTTCAATAAATGCTTTAGGCCTCTGGAGTCTTCTCCTGGTTTGCGCAATTTGCATGTTGATCCCTTACATGTAGTATCAATAAAGAAAGCACAAGAGATCAAATTAAAAACACTGGGCCAGATCTTCAGCAGGTGTAAAGCAGCATAGCTCCACAACTTCCAAAGAGGTAAGCCAATTCATACTGGTTAAGGATCTGGGGTCCATTGCTTTTATAGAATCATAAAAATATAGGGCTGGAAGGAACCTCAAAAGGTCTTGTCTAGCCACCCATGCTGGACATGGTAGCTAGACAAGGCATGGCAGGACCAACTATACCTAGACCACCCGACAAGTGTTAGTATAACCTGTTCTTAATAACCTCGAATGACAAATTCCACAATCTCCCTTGGAAGCCTGTTACAGTTCTTAACTATCCTTATAGTTTGAAAGTTTTCCCTAATATCTAACCTACATCTCCCTTGCTGCAGATTAAGCCCATTACTACTTGTCCTACCTTCAATGGACATGGACAACAATTGATTACCATTCTCTTTATAACAGCCCTTAACATATTTCAAGACTTATCACATCACTCCTCACTCTTTTTTTTTTTGTCAATTAACCTTTCCTTATAGATCAGGTTTTCTAAAACTTTTATTATTTGTATTGCTCTCCTCTGGACTCTCTCCAATTTGTCCACATCTTTCTTAAAGTGTGGCACCCAAAACTGGACAGAATATTCCAGCTGAGGTGTCACTGGTGCCAAGCAGAGCAAGACAATTACCTGCTATGTCTTACATACGACTTTCTTGTTATATACCCCAGAATGCTATTAGTCTTTTTTGTAATTGCATCTCATTGTTGACTCTTATTTAATTTGTGATCCGCTATAATTCCCACATTCTTTCCCACAATACTACTGTCTAACCAGTCATTCATAATTTTGTATCTGTGCATTTGATTTTTTTCCCTAAGCACAGTACTTTGCACTTGTCTTTACTGAATTTCATCTTCTTGATTTCAGACCAATTCTCCAATTTTTCAAGATCACTTTGAATTCTAACCCGGTCCTTCAAAGTGCTTCCAATCCACCCATCTTGGTGTCATATGCAACTTTTATAAGCAAACTCTCCACTCCATTATCCAAATCATTAATGAAAATGTTGAATATTACCGCACCCAGGAAAGACCTCTGCATGACCCCACTACTTTGACAGTAGCACATTGATAATTACTCTGAGTACAAACTTTCAACCAGTTATGAACCCACCTAACAGTAATTTAATCTAGACCACATTTCCCTAGTTTTCTTATGAAAATATCATATGGGACTGTGTCAAAAGCCTTGCTAAAATCAAGATATATCACGTCTACTGCTTCCCCACTAGACCAGCAACCCTGTCCAAGAAGGAAATTAGGTTGGTTTGGCATGACTTGTACTTGACAAATTCATGTTGGCTTTAACCTGTTCTTTCCCTATTCTGGCTTGTGCTCCTTCCCCCCTGTTGTTAATATTAATTCTGTTAAGCATCTTGTCACAATTAATCTTTTTAGTGAAGACTGAAGTAAAATAGGCATTAAACATCTCAGCTTTCTTGATGTCATCTGTTGTTAGCTCCCTTTCCCCACTAAGTAGAGGACCTGCACTTTCTTTCATCTTTCTCTTGGGTCTAATGTATTGATAAAACCTTTTCTTATTGCCTTTTATATCCCTTGCTAGGTGTAACACATTTTCTGCCTTCACCCTTCTGATTTTGTCCTTACATGTTTGTGCTATTATTTTGTATTCATCCTTAGCAATCTGTCCATGTTTCCACTGTCTGTATAATTCTTCTTTGATTTTCAGGTCATTAAAGAGCTCCTCGTGGAATCATATTGGCCTCTTTCTAGTCTTCTTGTCTTTGTTTTGCATTGGGGTAGTTTGCAGTTGTGCCTTTAATATTTTCTCTTTCAGAAACCGTCAGTTCTCCTGAACTCCCTTTTCCCTTAGCTTTTCTTCTCATGGGACCTTACCTACCAGTTCTTTGAGTTTGTTAAAATCTACTTTTTTGCAGTCCATTGTCCAGATTCTGCTGCTTTCACTCCTTCCTTTCCTTAGAATAATAAAATCTATCATTTTATGATCACTTTCACCCACATTTCCTTCTATCTTCAGATTCAAAGGAATAGAGAAAATCAAATGAATACACATAATTACACTGAGCATATGATATGCATACATGCATGCTCATGTATTGCTCCTTCAGTGTTTAGGCCATGTCATTTTCTTACAGAACAAAGATTAGAATACTTCTGATATACATAACTGGAAGTAACTTTACAGATTTAAACAGATAAGAATGAGCAAACAAATGAATTTTAAGTCAAAAATAGTCATGTATACTGATATGCATGAGTATTGGGATTGTGTACACCAAATGGGGTATTTGCATAACTTACACAATGAAAATTATTCACTATATCAGAAATAAATATGGCATCTTTTCTGGCAATGGCAAGAAATTAGTATTTTGCAAAGAAGCTAAAAACTAAGCACCAACAAGCTGCTGCTAATTTCTTCCTTTCATTGCTCTCAACACGTTGCCCACCTTTGAATCCCTTAACTGGCTTCTTCTCTTGCTGTATTAAATTCAAGCTCCTCAGTCTCCTGTCCAAGGCCCTCATCTACATCTCTGCTCTCATTTCCTCTTAGTACCATTCACTGAAATGGATATAAGACTGGATTCTCAAAACTCCCTCTTAAAACCTCTGCACCAAAAATTATCCATGCCCTCACTTCCCCAAATTATTGCTCTGTGTTTTAATTTTGTTGGTTTTATCTAGATAAGATTGTGAACAGTCTGGGGGAAGGAATATGTCTAGAAACTCTAAGTTTTAAGTACTATACTTACAATAAAATAATACTAATAATAGTAATATATTCAAGGCTTGATAGAAAATGTATTAGTACTATCAAGAACCATTCCCCTAATGCCACTGCAAATGCATACCATTCACAACAATAGTATCCTTACTATCCTTTGAGCTGAAGTAATACAAGGTAGAATATTTGCTGTGAAGTGTCCCTGGTGAAATAGAAGTCTGAAGAAAAAAGTGACTAGACAAAGTTAACAATGGCAGACATAAAACCCTGCTCCAGCCTTAATGGGATTAAGAAGTGGCTATGCAAAACTGCAGGATGAACAATACAAACAACGAACAAGTAGGGCAAGGTCTACTGACGACCAAGAAGATGGTGATGACAAATCACCATCTACCAATGTTCAACATGGCATTACCATCATCTACAAAGGTGGGAATATTTGATAGCTATTCTGAAAATGCATTCGTTCACTGATGGGGTGTGCTCCCCACACTCACCCTGAAGGGGTTAATGTAGGCCAGATGGACCAATTAACCCTCCTAGGCTTCAAGTTGGGGGATATTTGCACTAAGAGCAGAACCCTAATTAAGGGAAGCTCACCTATGGAGGAACCGGAGGGACTTCTATAAAACCAGGGAGCTGGTAGCAGAAAGGGTACTGCAGGGAGGAGGCTTCAGTCACTCTCCCTGGGATAAGGTAGAGAAAGGGGCTTTGGACCGAAGAGGGAGGGTTTATCTAGCAGACCCCAGGAGATAGCGGTTTTGCTAGGACGGAGAATGTGAGCCTTGGATAGGCAGAGTAGGAGAGGGAGAGAAGCAGAAAGGGAGAGGCAGGGTTTGAGGTAATACACACCTTGGCTGCTAGGGTCCAGATAGGGTCTTGGACCGGAACCCAGAGCAGAGGGTGGACCCGGGTTCCCCTATCAGCCACTGAACAAGTGACATAGCCGGGGCAATGATCATGAAGCATGTCTGGGACCGTTCGTCCCAGTCACTGAGGGAGTGACTCAGCCAGGGCAGTGGACTTAAGCACTGCCTGGGACGCTGTAGAGGAGTTTGACAGAACCTCAGAAGGGAAGGACTATTGTGAGTTGGCCGGAGGGCTAAGCCACAAAGACGAGGTGCTGCAGCTCCTGAGGAGCAAGAAAGGAGCCGCAGAACAACACAGCGAGACAACAGACCTAATCCCCAGAGGGAGGGGAATTATCACCCAAAGGCAATGCTCCATGGCCACTGCTGAAGCACCAGGGCTGCAGTAGGCCTGCAACACTGTGCTCCATCTTCAAGGACTGGATGTCCAGCTGATGGATTTGCAAAGTTGCAACACCTCTTAGCCCCAAAATCCCCTCTGAGCAGCCATCCACACAGTCTCTCTCTACGCAGCATGCATATCTGTTGGGTTAGTGCTTAAAATGTACCATCTTCCTGGGGTTTGCTTTTATTGCTAACAAACATCAGTATAACAGTTAAAAGCATAACTGGGTTCAAAAAAGAGTTAGATAAGCTCATGAAGGATAGGTCCATCAATGGCTATTAGCCAAGATGGTCAGGGATGCAACCACATCTTCTAGTTGTCCCAAAACTTCTGACTTCCAGAAGCTGGGACTGTAT